TTTACCCTGCTTGGTCATAGCACGGTAGTGGGAGCTGCCAGCTTCACATGTTTTAACTCTGTCAGAGCACTTTGAAAAAGTGGTTTGTGGTATCTGGAAAGCTGATGTTGCGTGTGAAGATTACAGACCTGTCGGGGGTCTGGCTCTCGAGATTCGGAGAACGATGCCTCTTCGATTTTTGAGAAAGCAATCCTGCTGGGGGTCTGGCTCTCGAGATTCGGAGAACGATGCCTCTTCGATTTTTGAGAAAGTAATCATGTTGGGAGTCTGGCTCTCGAGATTCGGAGGGCCGTGCCTCTTCGATTTTAGAGCAAGCAATCTTGTTGGGAGTGTTTTCTCGAATGTGAGTAAAGGTTGGGCATGTTTGCTAGTCTACCTTGCCACGAAGCACGGAAGTTGACACACAGAGACTTTCCAATTATCCAGCAGTGGTACTGTTCCTTTACCCTCTCTTCGATTTTTGAGAAAGTAATCATGTTGGGAGTCTGGCTCTCGAGATTCGGAGGGCGGTGCCTCTTCGATTTTGGAGCAAGCAATCTTGTTGGGAGTGTTTTCTCGAATGTGAGTAAAGGTTGGGCATGTTTGCTAGTCTACCTTGCCACGAAGCACAAAGGTTGACACACAGGGACTTTCCAATTATCCAGCAGTGGTACTGTTCCTTTACCCTCTCTTCGATTTTTGAGAAAGTAATCATGTTGGGAGTCTAGCTCTCGAGATTCGGAGGGCGGTGCCTCTTCGATTTTGGAGCAAGCAATCTTGTTAGGGAGTGTTTTCTCGAATGTGAGTAAAGGTTGGGCATGTTTTGCTAGTCTACCTTGCCACGAAGCACAGAGGTTGACACACCGGGACTTTCCAATTATCCAGCAGTGGTACTGTTCCTTTACCCTTGTGGGTAATAATATGGTAGCTAGACCTTCAAAATTTATGTGTCTAAACTTTGTTAGTGTTGTTTCTTTGCAATTCTTTTACCCTTCTTGGTCAGAGCGATGTAGTGAGCTGCAAGCTTCACGTGTCTCAACTTTGTCAGAGAACTTTGGCAAAGTTATCTGTGGTACCCATGAGCTACTGTTGCGTGTGGGAAGTGGGTGATTGAACAGTACGATTCATGTGCTTTCTACTTCGCCAGAAATCTTCGACAGAATGCCCATAATTTCCGCAAAGCTGAGTGTGCGTGTGACAGGTGCTGACAAGGCTGGAAAAGTAGGTGCCTCTTCGATTTCTGAAATCGGCCCTCGTGGTCTCTGAGCAGCCCAGCTTTTGAGAAAGCAAGCCTCTTCGATTTCTGAGATCGGCCTTTGTGGTCTTTGAGCAGCCCAGCTTTTGAGAAAGCAAACGCCTCTTCGATTTCTGAGATCGACCCTCGTGGTCTCTGAGCAGCCCAGCTTTTGAGAAAGCAAACGCCTCTTCGATTTCTGAGCAGGCGCCTCTTCGATTTCTGAAGCTTCGTCGAGTGCAGATTTTTATAGGGGCTGACATTAAGTTCCAAAGCACACTTGAATATCCACCAGTAGAAGCTCCATTCTTGCACTTCTAAGATCTTGATTTGTCCGACCTCTTCTCTCTTCAACACCTTTGAAAATGTCTGGCCCCTCCGACCGTCGTTTTGACTTGAACCTTGTTGAAGAGGCAGCCCCGCCTTCTCCAGACAACATATGGCGCCCATCCTTCGTCTCCCCTACTGGTCCTCTTACCGTTGGGGATTCCGTGATGAAGAATGATATGACCGCTGCGGTAGTGGCCAGGAACCTTCTCACTCCCAAAGATAACAGACTACTTTCCAAACGGTCTGATGAGTTGGCTGTTAAGGATTCTCTGGCTCTCAGTGTTCAGTGTGCAGGTTCTGTGTTTAATATGGCCAACGCCTATTTGCTCGAACCCGCCAAGTTGAATAATTGGCGGCTGAAGTGATGAGTCTCAAACAGGAGATTAGAGGGCTCAAGCATGAGAATAAACAGTTGCACCGGCTCGCACATGACTATGCTACAAACATGAAGAGGAAGCTTGACCAGATGAAGGAATCTGATGGTCAGGTTTTACTTGATCATCAGAGATTTGTGGGTTTGTTCCAAAGGCATTTATTGCCTTCGTCTTCTGGGGCTGTACCGCGTAATGAAGCTCCAAATGATCAATCCTCTGATGCCTCCTCCTTCTAGGGTTTTGTCCAGTACTGAGGCTCCGAATGATCCCCCTCCGGTGCCTTCTCTTTCTGGGGCTCTACCGACTGCTGAGACTTCTCCTAAGCAACCTTTGTGAAGGCTCCCTCTTGTTTGTTTATTTTGACTCAAGTATATGTACATATTTGTAACTTATCGGGGATATCAATAAATAAGCTTTCCTTCATTTCAACGTATTGTGTTAAATACACCAAAGCCTTCTTCGCTAAGTTCTTTGAATTTTCTTTTGTTGAAGCTTGTATGTTGAAGCTTTGTGAGTGGAGCATGTAGGTTGAGGTAGTGTTCCCTTAATTTCCCGAGTGAGGAAAACTTCTCGGTTGGAGACTTGGAAAATCCAAGTCACTGAGTGGGATCGACTATATGAATCTTAGAACGCCATTGTGTTCTGTCCTGTGTCATGTCCTCCGTTAGATCCAAGTACTCTAAGTCTTTTCTTAGGGTCTCTTCCAAAGTTTTCCTAGGTCTTCCTCTGCCCCTTCGGCCCTGAACCTCTGTCCCATAGTCGCATCTTCTAATCGGAGCGTCAGTAGGCCTTCTTTGCACATGTCCAAACCACCGTAACCGATTTTCTCTCATCTTTCCTTCAATTTCGGCTACTCCTACTTTACCCCGGATATCCTCATTCCTAATCTTATCCTTTCTCGTGTGCCCACACATCCAACGAAGCATCCTCATCTCCGCTACACCCATTTTGTGTACGTGTTGATGCTTCACCGCCCAACATTCTGTGCCATACAGCATCGCTGGCCTTATTGCCGTCCTATAAAATTTTCCCTTGAGCTTCAGTGGCATACGGCGGTCACACAACACGCCGGATGCACTCTTCCACTTCATCCATCCAGCTTGTATTCTATGGTTGAGATCTCCATCTAATTCTCCGTTCTTTTGCAAGACAGATCCTAGGTAACGAAAACGGTCGCTCTTTGGTATTTCTTGATCTCCGATCCTCACCCCTAACTCGTTTTGGCCTCCATTTGCACTGAACTTGCACTCCATATATTCTGTCTTTGATCGGCTTAGGCGAAGACCTTTAGATTCCAACACTTCTCTCCAAAGGTTAAGCTTTGCATTTACCCCTTCCTGAGTTTCATCTATCAACACTACATCGTCTGCGAAAAGCATACACCAAGGAATATCACCTTGAATATGTCCTGTTAACTCATCCATTACCAACGCAAAAAGGTAAGGACTTAAGGATGAGCCTTGATGTAATCCTACAGTTATGGGAAAGCTTTCGGTTTGTCCTTCATGAGTTCTTACGGCAGTCTTTACTCCTTCATACATATCCTGTATAGCTTGGATATATGCTACTCGTACTCCTTTCTTCTCTAAAATCCTCCAAAGAATGTCTCTTGGGACCCTATCATACGCTTTTTCCAAATCTATAAAGACCATGTGTAAATCCTTTTTCCCATCTCTATATCTTTCCATCAATCTTCGTAAGAGATAGATTGCCTCCATGGTTGAGCGCCCTGGCATGAACCCGAATTGGTTGTCCGAAACCCGTGTCTCTTGCCTCAATCTATGCTCAATGACTCTCTCCCAGAGCTTCATTGTATGACTCATTAGCTTAATTCCCCTATAGTTCATGCGAGGCTAAAAAAAAATTTCGCGCTGCGCGCGCTATGACCCCATAAACATTTTTTCCTGGATCCGCCACTGGCCCCAATGTCGAGCTGCATGACAGAAATTTCGAGTAAATTGATATAAATGTACTGGAAGTAGAAGAAATTATCTAGAGAAATGTAGCTATTACAAGAAAAGAAAGGTTGGCAGTAATACAGGATAAACGACTGGTGCCATCTTCAACAATTGCCATAAGTTTTGATTGAAATTCTACAAACTCCATCTATTAGACCAATCATCGCCGAAATTAATTATATCCGCCGACAAACATTAATAGATCAAAGCAGAAGAATAAGATGGCGCGTGTTGGGATAGTTTCGTAGGAAACTGGAAGATCTATGAGAGGAGCAAGGAGCCCTACTATGAAGACAGTGAAGGACAATCCCATAGCATAAACAAAGATGCGAAGCCATAAAACGTGATACACTGTCAGTGCAACACCAGCCAGGAATGACGAGGACATCATGGTAAGCGTTACGCCTAGCACCGGTAAGGTAAATCTCATGGCAGCATAGATTATACTAGGGTCATATGTTTGCGCCCACATAAGGGCAATTGAAGCAGTAATGGAGCCGCACATAGCCACGGTATTGCATATCAAGAAAATTCTGAATAGGCTATGCGGAAGAAAATTTGGGGTGCCCACATTATTTCCAGTGTCACTGTATCCACCTGGTACTGTGAAGCCTTGAGCAAACGTTATACCAACCACCAGCGTTGACACCAATAGGAGAGTATTGACACTCTCTTTCGAAAACATTAGGTTATCAGAATTGTGCAAGGACTTCGGAACAGAATCCTGTGTCTCTTTGGAGACTTTTCGCTCTTCAGATCGTGGAGCATTAGCCAAGTTCAAGGCCATAAGTGTTAGTTTCTGCAAGAAAAACGAAAGTTTCAGTTCTTGACCAAGTTGTTATATAGATCATGCATGACAAACACGAGAAACGATTATAAAATAAAGGCCATAAGGGTTAGCTTCTGCAGGGAAAAATCGTGTGTAATCAGGATATCCTCCCCTCTTTATATCTCTCTTATGCAATGAGAGGGACAAGAAGGGGATACATATACCTCTGGTTAATTAATTACGTTGTAGAATTCTCTCCTATGTACGACATACTTGTAGGTAGTTGTAGTGTCACACTGTAGGTAAAGGAAACTAATCGAAAAGATGCGTTGAGAAATTACGTAGTCTCCGAAACAACATCTCTTTATCTACCCCGGTCTTCTCTGCAAGGTCCAATGCCGTCTCACCTGCATTGTTCAAACTATTTAAATTGGCTCTCTCATACGCATGGAAGAGGGAAAGAATTTTGACGATCTTAGGATGCCAGTTTTGGACGGCTATATGTAGAGGGGTATTTCCACTTTGATCTCTTTGCTTGCTAAGCACTTGAAGATCGCGCTTTCCAATAATATATCGGACAACATCAACTCTTCCATGCGCGGCCGCAAGATGAAGAATATTCCGGCCTTCATGGTCACTTGATCCCTCAAGTCGGGGCAATAATCGAGAAACTCTTCAACAACCCTGCAATGGCCTTTTTTGGACGCCACATGTATAGGAAGCAACTGATTTTCGTCACCTTTGTATGCCAATCCAGTAAATTTGTGCAACAATATGCGTACCGCCACAAAGTTATCCATATAAGCCGCAACTGTAAGAGGAGACATCCACCCTTGGTCCATTGAATTGATGAGATCAGCTGAATCCATTTTGCTCAATATCGTCTCTAGGAGATCTACATAGCATATGCATTTTAGAAGCAACTCTGTCAAGAATAAGTATTTATGAAGAGAGAAATAAACAAAAGGTAAATTGTCATAATGCCATATTACAAAGAGTTAGAGCATCTCCAACAGTGTAAAAAAATGATTTTGATGAGCCACGCAGGTAAAACTTTGCTCCCGCTCCAATGGTATGTGCAATTGAGTATGAAAATTTTGCTCATTCCCACAAAGTAAGCAATATTATTGACTACTTCAATATTATATGCTAATGACATGAAAAAGGCAATGACAGAGGCATACTTGTATACTTCTTTCTGTTGGCTCTGGGCAGCCACCATTGAGAAACTATACTCTTAAAAAATATCCAGCATACAACCCCCGCCATCACAAAGAGTGGATTGATGAGATTGATTAATATGGACATGACCAACGCGAACACTGCTATAGAAAATAGCAATGACAGAGGTATATTTGTATACTTCTTTCTGTTGGTTCTGGGCAGCCACCATTGAGAAACTTCAATCAAGCATACAACCCCCGCCAGCACAAAAAAAAGTGGAATGTTGAAATTCCATAACATGAGCATGACCAACACGAACACTGCATCATATTTCTTGAGGCCACCTTTTGCTATACTTGTAACCCATGCCCAAACAACCGCCAGCAAAACAAAGAGTGGAATGTTGATATACCATAACATGAGCATGACCAACACGAACACTGCATCATATTTCTTGAGGCCACCTTTTGCTATATTTGTACCCCATGCCAAAATTTAAAAAAATACTCATTACTAGCTATATGTACCAAAACAAAAATTACTCACAAGTATACCAAAAAGAAAAAAGGGTAACTGCAAATGCTTAATATTTACCTTGTTTCCTCCATATGATCGCACTACGAAGAATTGAGTTGCCGTTCGATCCTTGCCAAAAATTACCAGAATTAGCGTCTGTTGTGCTATTTGGCGTCTTGTCTACCATTGCTTTAACAAGTTCAAGATTGGCAGTTTCAGCAGCCATGCACAAGGGAGTCTTTCCGGATTCATTTGTGGAATGCAACGTGGATCCAGATCCATCTTCGCCGACCAAAAACATAGCCACATCTTGGTGATTATTTTCCACAGCGACATGCAACGCAGTGTTCCCTCTCTCGTCCTCTTCATTAAACGTATTACCTTGAGCCGTGTCTACCAAACAAGACGAAGCCAGAAATTTAACTAAGAGGGGGCACCTTAAAAAATTTGAGCTCTTTTTTTGGATAAATAAAGCTAGTTCTTTTACAAATATTGAAAAAATCAATTACAAAATGCCTAATTTTATTACGCTATTGTCTAATTTTGTTTTTAATTGTTGTATTGACAATCTAATACTCATTACTTTAGTCTAAAGTAGGGGGAGGGTGGCACTGTGTAATTTTGAGGTACATTTCAGTTTATTTACGAAATTGCCACTAAAGCTCCTTGCCCCTGATTTAAAGTAATTTGCAAAATTGTCATTGGGCTTCAGAAATTTTTTGTAGTATTAAATGATGAGACTGCCCATTTGAGCTTCAGATCACACAGTGAGGTTTTTGTCCTTAGGGTTTTCGGAATGATTGAGGTTAAGTTGTTTCCCCATCATTTGTTTCTTTCTTCGGCGCAGGCATGCCCATGCCGATCTTAGCATGAGTGAGTGGGAGGGTGACAGTGAGAGAAAGAGAGAGTGGTTGTTCGGATTTCAGGGATCAAAAGAAGGACTAAGATAGAGATCGGGATCGAGAGAGGGATTGAGATCGCGATAGGGATCAGATGAGCCGCAGAAAGAGGCGAAGAGGCGAGAGGTTAATGCAATCGCTGGAAGCATCTTTCGTTTCTCTCTTTCTTTCGCCTCTTCCTTTGGTACGCCTAATCGGATTAGCAGTGAAATTGTTAGAAATTAAAGAACAATGCAGGAATTTAAAGGGAGATAAAGGAAGAAGTCGAGACAAAGGATAAAAGGATTATTCATTCATTCATAAAACCCAACGAGGCTGAGAGTTACATATATATATATATATATATATATATATATATATATATATATATATCAAGCCAATAAGGGGAAACCCTAGCTATGAGGCTTGGGCTTGAAGACAAGACAAGGTAATTATTAACAAAAGGCTTGGGACTTAAAAAGATGAGAAAGGTCCAACTGTTAGGTCCTAACAACTCCCTCCCTTAAGAAGGAACATGTCTTCAGGTTCAAAAGTCTGGATAATGTGCAATGATCTCGTCGGCTTCCTCCTATGTGGCATATTCAGCTGGAAGAGCCAACCACTGTATGAGCCATTTTGTGATTGTAACGTTCTTCTTCTTGAACATCCCTCTGTCCAAAATCTTCTTAGGTTGCCAATGCAAGTGACTTATAGAGTCAATAAGCGGCAGGATTGGACTTGGAGAGATGGCATCACCTATCTTCTTCTTGAGTAGAGATACATGGAAGACTGGGTGTATTTTGGAGTCAAGAGGTAGATTCAAATGGTAAGCCACTACACCTATGCAAGCTTTCACTTGGAATGGGCCATAAAACTTAGGTGTAAGTTTGTTGAAATGCCGAGTGGCCACAGATTGCTGGAGATAGGGCTGGAGCTTGAGATAGACCTAATCACCCACATTGAATTCGTGTTCAGTTCGACCTTTATCGTCAACTTATTTCATTCGATTATGTGCAAGCTACAAGTTAGCACGCAAAAGGCTAAGAAGCTTGTTATGGTCCTGCAATGCCACATCAACCGAGTTAACTGCCGTAGTACCAAATATGTAGGAGTGAATGGTTGGGGGTGGCAATCCATACAACGCCTGGAAGGGTGACATTTTAATGGCAGATTGAAACGTGGTGTTGTACCACCACTCGGCCCAGGGAAGGATGGCAGCCCACTTGCGAGGGTGATCTGCCGAGAAGCATCGAAGGAAATGCTCGAGTGTGCGATTTAAGACTTCTGATTGGCCATCAGATTGCGGGTGGTATGCAGAACTCTGACGCAATTAGGTGCCCTGTTTACTGAATAACTATTGCCAAAAGTGGCTGAGAAAGGTTGGGTTACGATCCGAGACAATCGATTTTGGCATGCCATGAAGATGAAAATTTTCCTTGATGAATGTGTCGGCAACGGATGCAACTGTGTATATGTGTTTGATCGGAATTAAGTGGCCATATTTAGTGAGGCGATCAACAACTACCAAAATGACTGTGTAGCCATTGGAAGAAGATAATCATTCGACGAAGTCAAGAGCAATGTCCTGCCATATGCCGTCAGGAATAGAGAGCGGCTGCAAGAGACCCAACGGGTGAATGTTCTCATGATTCTAGCATTGGCATTCCGAGCAAGTGGATACAAAATTCTTTACATCTTTACGAATACTAGGCCAAAGACAGTTGCGAGAGACGTGGTTGTAAGTACGGAGAAAACCGGAGTGGCCCCCTTGCAGCGAAAAGTGGAATTCTTCTAGGATTTTTGGACGCCATTATGATGTCAAAGGAACAAAAACTCCCTGTTTGTAATGAAGGACACCATTAACAAGTGTGAAGCCTCGCACACTGTTGTTTGGTGTTTGGAGCAATGAAAGCCAGAGTGTTTGAACCTGTGGATCTGCAGCATATGATTGTTATAGGTTTGGTAAACAATCAAAAACTGGAGAGGATAAACCCATAAAAAGCAGTATCTCATGTTGGTGAGAAAGTGCATTCGGGGCTCCATTTTGAGAACCCGATATGTAGTCCACTGTGTAATTATACCCTAGAAGCTTAACAAGCCATTTTTGTTGTTGTGGAGTCGTTATACGCTGCTCAAGGAAGAACTTGATGGGTTTGTGGTCAGTCACAATTCTAAATTGTTGACCCAAGAGGTAATGGCGCCAATTCTGCACAGCAAAGACGATGGCGAGCATTTCCTTGTCATATGTAGAGAGATCGAGATTAAGACAGGACAAGGCCTTACTGAGGTAAGTTATTGGGTGACCATCTTGGCATAAGATAACACCTATACCAATACTCGATGCATTTGTTTCCACGACAAATTGTTAGGAGAAATTGGGGAGAACAAGCACGAGTGTGGTTACTAACGCATGCTTGAGCTTGTCAAATGCAGCAATGGAGTCAGTTGTCCATGAGAAATTACCCTGTTTTAACATGTCAGTCAATGGCTTTGCAATCAGACCATAATGACGGACGAACTTCCGATAATAACCTGTGAGACCCAAGAATCCACGAAGGCTTTTGATAGACTACGGTTGAGGCCAATTTGTGATTGCTTGAATCTTGGAGGTGTCCATTGCCACACCGTGGCCCGAGATAAAGTGGCCCAAATAGTCAATCGTAGCTTGCCCAAAGGAACATTTGCTAAGCTTTACCCTTAAGCTGTGAGTAGACAAAACTTGAAAAATAATCTCCAAATGGGAGATGTGGGTAGCAAATGAAGAACTATAGACAAGGATATCATAAAAAAAAAAAAACTAATACAAACTTATGCAAGTATGGCCTAAAAATGGAATTCATCAAAGCCTGAAAAGTTGATGGAGCATTGGAAAAGCCGAATGTCATCACCAAGAACTCGAAATGGCCGTTGTGTGTACGAAATGCTGTTTTTGGAATATCCTTGGAACACATGCGGATCTGGTGGTAACCTGACTAAAGGTCAAGCTTGGAAAATATGGTTGCCCCATGCAATTTGTCAAGTAACTCATCCACAATTGGAATGGGGAAACGGTCCTTGATGGTTGCTGCATTCAAAGCTCTATAGTCAATACAAAGACGCCATGAGTCATCCTTCTTTTTCACAATGAGTACTGGCGAGGAAAAATGACTATTGTTGTTTCAAATTACGCTTGATTGTAGGAGTTCTTGCACTTGTTTCTTAAGTTCAGCTTTTTTGGAGTGTGGGTATCAACATGGACGAACCGAGATAGGTGTAGTGTTGGGTAAGAGCAAAATTTTAAGGTTTATATGGCATTGGGGTGGGAGACCAGATGGTATGGCGAAAAGATGGCGGTATTGTGTAAGGAGGGAAAAAATGGTTGGGTGGGTGTCGGTTGGTGGGGAGAGAAGGGTATCTGTGGGTGAGTTTGGTCGGGGAATGAGATGGGTGAGTTGGGAAGTGGGTTGTAGTGAATGACAGGTGTGAAAAGGTGGGGTGATTTTGAATAGTCCCTAAAGGGATGAACCTCAAAGGGTGTAGCCTTGCAGATTTACATCGACATCATAAACTCGCAAGGATGCAGTAATTCGTGTGTGAAAGGCTGTAGTGAAATGAACCGGGGCAATATTTTCAATTGGCAGGCCTAAACGGTGTGCAACATCCGTATAAAGCAAATTGCAAGTAGCTCCATAATCGATTAGGATCGTAATTGGAAGGGAGTTAATGGAGCCTTGCAATTTCAGTAGTTGACCCATGTTAAGCCTAAAGAGCGAAAAAAGCTCTAGCATGTGGCGTGTGGGATCAGGAGGGAGTTCTTACTCCGATTGGAAATCATGAAACTCAATAGAATCATCTTCAATGGTAGGGGCATCAAGCATCACAATCATAGGAACTTTGCATTTATGTCTGGGAACATAAGGTTCTGTGCAATGGAAGCATTCGAGTTTGCGAATTTTTTCTTGAACCTCAGCTGAGGTTAATTGTTTGAATGGCGCGGTTTGGATTGGAGGGGGTTTAAGGCATGAGATGGCAGAGATGGAGTTAGGGTTGGATGGTTTTGGAAAGCTAGAGGGTAGGTATTGCCGAGAGAAATTAGAACGAGAGGTTCTTTTGGACTGCATTTTGGTTTAAAAAATTTTGGCCAATTTTTAAGCTTGGTGTAAAGAATCGGGTTTAAGAGCTAGGACATCATGGCGAATATCCTATTTTAATCCCCCTAAGAAAACATGTTTGAGCCGATTCTCTGTCCAATTAATCACCCTACAAGAGAGTTTAGTAAACTCTGCTATATAGTCATCCACAGTGCCCATTTGTTGGATGTGGGTGAGCTGTGATTCAATGGTCGAAGAGGATGGTGTGGGTCGGGTAGAGGGAGTATAGGTGGGGATTGGGGCTAAACTTAGGGATGGAGGTTTAGAGAGTCCCAAACTTGTGTAGGTAGTGGTGGGTAGGGCAAATAAGGAGCGGAATGAGGGTGGGGGGTTGGTTGCAGGGGTGCAGGTAGAGGTGGGATTTACTGTCAGTGCTTGTTTGGGGGTGGTGGAAGGCTTGATTTGAGAGTATAAAGCTTGTCGAGCATTGGAGATTGAAATGCCACGAACTAGGTAGTCATGGTGTTTTGAAAGGCTATATTGGAGTTGTTGATTTGGTCAAGAGATTTTTGGAAGGACACCTGTTGGTTCTCTAGGGCTGATATGGAGTCACAAACATCTACCTGGGATGTGATGTGCTCATGACAGACATCGACCGCCATAGTGACGGCGTCTGGGTTAGAGGTTACAGATGGAGTGTTTTGGCCCATAATATCTATGGGCTCTGATAACAATTGGTACGCCCAATCAGATTAGCAGCTGAAATTGTTAGAAATTAAATAACAATGCTGGAATTTAAAGGGAGATAAAGGAAAAAGTCGAGATAAAAGGATACGAGGATTTTTCATTCATTCATAAAACCTAACGGGGCTGAGAGTTACATATATATATCAAGCCAAGAAGGGGAAACCCTAGCTATGGGGCTTGGACTTGAAGACAAGACAAGGTAATTATTAACAAAAGGCCCGGGACTTAAAGAGAGGAGAAATGCCCAACTGTCAGGTCCTAACAACCTTTTTGTTCCAGTGCTTCATTTTCGATAGCCTTCCTCATCTTTCAACGAGATTCCGGTGACTAGATCCATAGCACACTCGAGAACCGCTCCCTTTTAGGGATGGGCAAATACCCATCGGTTATGGGTAACTGCGGATATCCGCCCATTTAAATTTCACAGTTACGGTTATGGGTAACCGTTTAGATAATTAAGTTATGGGTATAACCGTTTACCTGTGAAATTTAAATGGACATTTATGAGTATTAATTGCGGTTATAACGATTACCCGTTTACCAGTTTATTTTAATAGATATATAAAATTAAAAAAACAAAAAACCTAATATGTAAGACTGTAACATGTTCGTTCTCTCTGCCAGGAGGCCAGGACCTGTTTATTTTAGTAGCTAGGTGATGAATATGACTGGTATGTTTAATTCAGTTTTAAATTGCTGACATGGGAATCAGTTGTGGACCTATGGTACGAATACAATGTATAATCTGAGGTCACATTCAACATCTCTGGTTAAATACATTTCTTTTGGGATACTATTTCAATTTATAAATTTCTTTTGTATGTCTACAACGAGTTGATGAGACTTTGTCATTGAATGTGCTTAAAACATTAGTGTTCGAAAATGTATAGTTTTGAAATATTTTGGAGCTTTGAATCATCTAGTATTTAAGATAATGACTATCTTGAGTTTTTAGAAGCTATACTTTGTAATCATATGAATGTTATATTTGAATACTTGCTTAGGTGTAGAAGAAAAATATGTCGAAAATATATGAATTTTCTTTCCACTTTTTGAAGATTCCCTTCTCTCTGTTTTGAGATTATACTCTTTGGCTATCTATTTTATCTGTAGTTCATTTCACTAAATTAAAAATGAATCTTTAATTTTTTAATTTTTAAAATGAAAGATAAGAGAAAATCATAAGTACTTAATTATATATATGGGTTGCTGCTGAGAAGAAATGGAGGGAAGTGGAAGGTGTTTTCATGTTCTCCCCACAACCAAAAGCGCTTCGTTTGAGCTACTCAACCTTTCTCTACCGTTACGAACAAGTTCGCTTTTTTAGGGTGGGTAATTTTGTGGTTTGAAAATTATGTGTTGTAAGTGTAAATTTGGGATTAGAAATGGGTTTTCTGTTAAAATTTCATTTTTTTTAATTTTGGGGGTTTTGTTTCAAGCGATCTCATTCTTTTAATCGGACTTTTGCCAAAGTTTATTGCTGGGTTTTGGGTGCTTTTGAATTTGGTGAAATTTGTGATTTTTCAGTGCTTCAATGGTGTTTTGGAATGATTGGTATTTTGGTGTCGAATGCAACTAATTATGTGGATCTTAATTAGTAGATATCCAAGAGTGACAAATGCAACTAATTATGTGGATCTTAATTTGGTGATTCATTTCCTTCACTCTGTGTGTCAGGAAATGAGTTCAACCATGGATTCGTATACGTTGAAGTCCACGTCCGATTTGCCTGCTCTCTTTCTATCATCGTTTATTTTTACATAATATCCTTGCAATTGGAGTTTTGTTACTGGTATTATTAAGGTTTTGTTCCTGATATTATTTGGGTTTGGTGTTAGTGGGGATGGCAGTGGCGCGCTAAGTTAGCCGTTCGTGGCTCACCGGAAAACCCTTGGTTGGGCTATCAGGAGGGAACTCATAATGTAGTAGATATTTCTCAATGCAGAGGTCACAATCCTAATGACTTTATATTTGATATTTTAAATCCTTGGATTATGTTAAATTTTATGTTTTTAGTTTAATTTGTATCTTCTTCTCTGTTTTTGTAGCTCATCATCCCAGTATTAATGCTGTTGGGGAGCTGCTTAAACAAGGTCCAATTTCAGCTATTAAAACTGAATGTTACCAGTTTTCATATCCGGTGTTTGAGTCTTGAATATTACTTCTCTTTATAATGTTCAGGTATTACAGAACTACGAGTTGAGCCGTATGATGAAGATGAGGGGACTGGTGATTTGGTATTACGGAACTACTTTGTATAACGTTCAGGTATTATGTGCAGGTGACTGATGTGATTCATAATAATGCAATTGCACATGGAAAACATGTTAGTAAGTTGTAATGTTTTGGAATTCAATTAATGGTGGTGTAATGCAGATGGCTGTGACAACACATAATACTTCCCATCCCGTTTCTGAAAGATATAAGAATGGTTAGTAGCTGAATTCATCAAAGTTATCTGAGTTTCTAGAAAGACATTTTACGTGATACTTCATTTCATCGTTGTAAATATTTTCTTTAAAAGGATTAAATTAAATAATGAAAATGCTCTAGCAAATGTTCTGGATGTAAGCTAAAAGATCAATTTAACTTTTCTTCCCTGTCATTTTTAGTGCTTTTTCTTTTCTTATTACTTTTAGGAATTAATTTTTGAGATATATTATGACTAACAAATTTACTGTTGCCCCTATCATCTTTTTTGCTTAAGATTTCTTTTGAACCTCGCGGAATCTTCTATTTAGATGCGCCATCATCATCAGTTTGTCTGCTATTCCAGTTAGAGATTCATGCCACAGAAGAAGGTGGGCTTACACCTTCAGTTTATTCGTGCAAAGAACCAGTATGTCCAAATATATGTTACTCGATTCTTAAAAACTGTATGGCATGACAAGATAAATTTATAAATTTCTAATTTTTCTGCTTTGTATAAAATCTTTGTTCACTCTACCTGAAAAGGTACACTTGACTGAGAAGAAAAGTCTTTTCATATTAAATCCTTGTTTTCTTTCATCTTATCTTTGGCACAGAAAGCACCATCAAAATTTATTTATTTATTTATTTATTTTCAGGTGGCTGTTGAGGAAGGTATTGTTGTCGGTGGATGAACCCTTTAGGTAATTATCTGTTACTTATTGGACTCCCCCAATCATGAGTTTTGACTCGGAAGAAGATTTTGATGATGATAGATACTGAATTGAATTTTGGCACAAATTGTATTGAAAATTGCAGTTCAGAGCAATTTTTATGAGGAAGAAGGATGAATCTTAAACATATATATGAATTTAGTCAAATCCACACGCTCCATTCAAACTTCTGAATTTCAAGCACTTGAATTGAATAGATGCTTTTAATTCTTCTCCCATCTAAACATTAGATATTTCTGCAATTTTATTTCTATGTTGTTTATATCATTGTTGTTTGAATATATGCTTAAACCTATTTCATTCAGAATATATGTTAGCAATAGTTTGATTGTTTAAGCTAAGATGTTTTTCATGGCATCGCATGAAGCTTGATAGGAAAGTAGTTCCATTATATGTAGGCATTGCAACTCTTTTTTTCTTTTCTATTCTCTGGTTGCTGCTGTTTTCTCATAGTGCAGGAAGCTTTATGGCGTACAACGTGCCAAGTCATTATGCTGGCACCATTCTGTTTTAGTATTTGTTGGATTAGAATGTACTCATTGTTTCAAGTGAGTATTAATTGTGACTCCTAATAAATATTTAGATTGATAAAATCAAAGGCCAGGGAGGGAGAGTTGGAGAAGCTCTTAGTTTGGGTGTTTTAACATGTTGATGTTGTGTGTTTTACTGTTTTATGAGATTTGGTGCTTCATATGCAGATAATATATTTCTGATTTGAAAATTTCATCATTATTCCGTTGATTTATAATTAAATTTATGCCTTAATTTAGCATTTTCATCATGATGAGTATTAGGAATAGAGTAGGAGAGGTTGGTGATTTTATAGAGCACAATTATTAGGCTGCTTGGGTGCTTTGTGTTTATTGATTTAGGTATACGTTAAATCGATTTGATGTGATTCTGATTCTGGAATTGGGTGTTGACTGCTGAATTGGTGCTTGATATTTTCGTGTTGGATTTTTCTCCAGCAGTGGAATCTGAGGAAGATTTCAACTGGGAAATCATTTTGTTCTCCACTTGGTAATTAGTGGAGATGTCAAGTTATGTGGGTGTTTACATTACGGATCAATCGCTTCAAAGCCAGGCCACACAGGTTGAGCTGTGCAGTCTAGAATCCAAAGTATGTATAATTGATTAGTCATGAAATATGATACATTTTCTCCGTGTTTACATACTTATGACATACAATCAGTTTCTTTTTGGTTGGGTTGAAATGATATTGATTGTGTTGTTATAGAACTCCTTTTTATAGTTGGGTTGAAAATCATGTTAATAGAATCTTTTTTTGGTTGGTCTGATCTGTAACAGATGAGATTGTTTTGTTTGAATCAAAATTTGATCGTTTTTTGTGTGAAATTATAATGGAATCGCAAATTTATCAGGTATATCTTAGATTCTTTGTTGCATATTCACCTTCTCACAACTTTTACATTGTCTCTTGATTTGATGTAATTTTTATAATTTCCATGATCAACGGATGCATGAAGTAAGGAGGAAGCTACTATTATGGAGCTTCTTAGGCATGGTAAGTTGAAGTTGTAAATCATTTTTTTCGTTCACGGAATTCATTATCTTGCTATATTGGCAATTAGTAGTGTCTGACAATTGGTAAAGTGTATTCATTTTTCTGCTTAATTTATGTTGAAAATTTGTAATCATTTAAAAATGTATTGTAATCAAATGACTAGCATGTGAATTTGTGTATTGTAATCATTTACAACTTGCAGAATTAGTTAAATGTATCAAATGACTAGCATGTGAATTTGTGTATAGTTAAAAATAATCTTATCCTTAAGGATTATTGATTGGGCAAATTTGGTTGAGTAAATTTAGGGTTATTGATTGTGCTAATTTGGTTGATTGGTTGATCTGATTTGAGATTTTCTTCTAATGAGGAAAGGATATTATATAACTTGTAAGGATTGCAAAGTTATACCGGGGGAGAGCTTGGCTAATCAACATCGCTTGTTGGTGATGAATGTACATATCAAAAGAGTGAGAAAAAAGAACAAGACTTGGAAGTGCCCAAGGACTAGATGGTGGAATCTAAAAGAAGAAAAACAAGTCATTTTCAAAGAGAAAGTAATCACCCAGTGTGTGTGGGATAGAGAGGGGGAAGCTAGCCAAAGGTGGGATTCCATGGCTAGCTGTATTCGAAAAGTAGCAAAAGAGGTATTAGGAGAGTCTAAGGGCTTTGCTCCATACCAAAAGGAATCTTGGTGGTGGAATGAGGAGGTACAAACAAAGGTGAAGGCTAAGAAGGAATGTTGTAAAACCTTATACAAGGATAGGACCGATGAAAATGGTGAACGGTATAGAAGAGCCAAGCAAAAGGCGAAGAAAGCTGTGAGAGAAACTAAGTTAGCGGCTTATGACGATATGTATAAGCGACTAGATACCAAAAAAGGAGAGTTGGATATCTATAAACTAGCTAGAGCAAGGGAAAAGAAGACAAGGGACCTAAACCAAGTGAGGTGCATCAAGGATGAGGATGGAAAGGTTCTTGCTACAGAGAACGCGGTCAAAGACAGATGGAGAGGTTATTTTCATAATCTTTTCAATGAAGGACATGAAAGGAGTACTTCTTTAGGGGAGTTGAGTAACCCAGAAGAGTGTAGAAACTACTCATTTTATCGTCGAATCAGGAAGGAAGAAGTGGTTGTAGCTTTGAAGAAGATGAAGCATAGAAAAGCAATGGGCCCAGATGATATACCGATTGAAGTGTGGAAAGCCTTGGGAGATACAGGTATAGCATGGCTCACTGACCTTTTCAATAGGATTTTGAAAACGAAGAAGATGACAAACGAGTGGCGAAAGAGCACTTTGGTGCCTATTTACAAGAATAAGGGCGACGTACAAAATTGCATGAACTATAGGGGTATTAAGCTAATGAGTCATACAATGAAGCTCTGTGAAAGAGTCATTGAGCATATATTGAGGCAAGAGACACAGGTCTCGGACAACCAATTCGGGTTCATGCCAAGGTGCTCAACCATGGAGGCAATCTATTTCTTACAAAGATTGATGGAAAGATATAGAGATGGGAAAAAGGATTTACACATGGTCTTTATAGATTTGGAAAAAACGTATGATAGGGTCCCAAGAGACATTATTTGGAGGATTTTAGAGAAGAAAGGAGTACGAGTAGCATATATCCAAGCTATAAAGGATATGTATGAAGGAGCAAAGACTGTCGTAAGAACTCATGAAAGACAAACCGAAAGCTTCCCCATAACTGTAGGGTTACATCAAGGCTTATCCTTAAGTTCGTACCTTTTTGCGTTGGTAATGGATGAGTTAACATGACATATTCAAGATGATATTCCTTGGTGTATGCTTTTCGCAGACGATATAGTGTTGATAGATGAAACTCAGGAAGGGGTAAATGCGAAGCTTAACATTTGGAGATAAGTGTTGGAATCTAAAGGTCTTCGCCTAAGTCGATCAAAGACAAAACACGTACACAAAATGGATGCTTCGTTGGATGTGTGGGCACACAAGAAAGGATAGGATTAGGAATGAGGATATCCGAGGTAAAGTAGGAGTAGCCGAAATTGAAGGAAAGCTGAGAGAAAATCGGTTACGGTGGTTTGGACATGTGCAAAGAAGGCCTACTGATGCTCCGGTTAGAAGATGTGACTACGGGACAGAGGTTCAGGGCCGAAGGGGTAGAGGAAGACCTAGGAAAACTTTGGAAGAGACTCTAAGAAAAGACTTAAAGTACTTGGATCTAACGGAGGATATGACATAGGACCGAGCACAATGGCGTTCTAAGATTCATATAGCCGACCCCACTCAGTGACTTGAATTTTTTAAGTCTCCAATCGAGAAGTTTTCCTCACTCGGGAAATTAAGGGAATACGTTGAAATGAAACAAAGCTTATTAATTGATATTTTCGATAAGTTACAAATATGTACATATACATGAGTCAAAATAAACAAACAAGAGGGAGCATTCACAAAGGTTGCTTAGGAAAAGTCTTAGCAGTCGGTAGAGCTCCAGAAAGAGAAGGCACCGAAGGGGGATCATTCGGAGCCTCAGTACTGGACAGAACCCTAAGGATGAGGCATCGGAGGTTGATCATTTGGAGCTTCATTACGCGGTATAGCCCCAGAAGACGAAGGCAATAAATGCCTTTGGAACAAACCCACAAACCTCTGATGATCATGTAAAATCTGACCATCAGATTCCTTCATCTGGTCAAGCTTCATCTTCATGTTTGTAGCATAGTCATGTGCGAGCTGGTGCAACTGTTTATTCTCATGCTTGAGCCCTCTAATCTCCTGTTTGAGACTCATCACTGCAGCCGCCAATGATTCAACTTGGCGGGTTCGAGCAAATAGGTGTTGGGTCATATTAGACACAGAACCTGCACACTGAACACTGAGAGTTAGAAAATCCTTAACAGCCAACTCATCAGACCGTTTGGAAAGTAGTCTGTTATCTTTGGGAGTGAGAAGATTCCTGGCCACCACCGCAGCGGTCATATCATTCTTTATCACGGAATCCCCAACGGTAAGAGGACCAGTAGGGGATAAGAAGGATGGGCGCCATATGTTGTCTGGAAAAGGCATGGCTGCCTTTTCAACAAGGTTCAAGTCAAAACGAAGGTTGGAGGGGCCATACATTTTCAAAGGTGTTGAAGAGAGAAGAGGTCGGACAAATCAAGATCTTAGAAATGCAAGAAGAGAGCTTCTACTGGTGGAGATTCAAGTGTGCTTTGGAACTTAATACCAGCCTCTATAAAAATCTGCACTCGACGGAGCTTCAGAAATCGAAGAGGCGCCTGCTCAGAAATCGAAGAGGCGTTTGCTTTCTCAAAAGTTGGGCAGCTCAGAGACCACGAGGGCCGATCTCAGGAATCGAAGAGGCATTTGCTTTCTCAAAAGCTGGGCTGCTCAAAGACCACGAAGGCCGATCGCAGAAACCGAAGAGGCGCTTGCTTTCTCAAAAGCTGGGCTGCTTAGAGACCACGAGGGCCGATCTCAGAAATCGAAGAGGCACCTGCTTTTTCAGCCTTGTCAGCACCTGTCACATGCACACTCAACTTTGCGAAAATTACGGGCATTCTGTCGAAGATTTCTAGTGAAGTAGAAAGCACGTGAATGTTACTGTTCAATCATCCAATTTTACACACGCAACATCAGCTCACGGGTACCACAGATAACTTTGCCAAAGATCTCTGACAAAATTCAAACACGTGAAGCTTGCAGCTCCCATTACATCTCTATGACCAAGAAGGGTAAAAGAATAATAAAGAAACAGCATTAACAAAGTTTAGACACATAAATTTTGAAGGTCTAGCTACCATATTATTACCCACAAGGGTAAAAGAACAGGACCACTGCTGGATAATTGGAAAGTCTCTGTGTGTCAACCTCTGTGCTTCGTGGCAAGGTAGACTAGCAAACAGGCCTAACCTTTACTCACATTCGAGAAAACACTCCCAACAAGATTGCTTGCTTCAAGATCGAAGAGGCACCGCCCTCCGAATCTCGAGAGCCAGACTCCCAACATGATTACTTTCTTAAAAATCGAAGAGACACCGCTCTCTGAAACTCGAGAGCCAGACTCCTAACAGGATTGTTTTCGATGCACCGTTCTCCTAATCTCGAGAGACAGATCCCCGACAGGATCATTTGTACTAAATCATTCACTTGTACTCACTAAGGAGAGCTTGAACCTATGTACTGTGTAAACCTTTCACAATTAATGAGAACTCCTATACTCCGTGGACGTAGCCAATCTGGGTGAACCACGTACATCTTGTGTTTGCTTTCCTGTCTCTATCCATTTACATACTTATCAACACTAATGACCGGAGCAATCTAGCGAAGATCACAAACTTAATACTTTCAGTTGTACCAAAGTCCTCACTGCTTTTGTGCATCAACAATCCGTAAGTCCTTACCTTTTTGCGTTGGTAATGGATGAGTTAACAGGACATATTTAAGATGATATTCCTTGGTGTATGCTTTTCGCAAACGATGTAGTGTTGATAGATGAAACTCAGGAAGGGGTAAATGTGAAGCTTAACCTTTGGAGAGAAGTGTTGGAATCTAAAGGTCTTCGCCTAAGCCGATCAAAGACATAATATATGGAGTGCAAGTTCAGTGCAAACGGAGGCCAAAATGAGTTAGGAGTGAGGATCGGAGATCAGGAATTACCAAAGAGCGATTGTTTTCGCTACCTAGGATCTATCTTGCAAAAGAACGGAGAATTTGATGGAGATCTCAACCATAGAATACAAGCTGGATGGATGAAGTGGAAGAGTGCATCCGACGTGTTGTGTGACCGTCGTAGGCCACTGAAACTCAAGGGAAAATTTTATAGGACGGCAATAAGGTTGACGATGCTGTATGACACAGAATGTTGGGCGGTGAAGCATCAACACGTAGGTGTAGCGGAGATGAGGATGCTTCATTGGATGTGTGGGCACACGAGAAAGGATAAGATTAGGAATGAGGATATCCGAGGTAAAGTAGGAGTAGCCGAAATTGAAGGAAAGATGAGAGAAAATCGGTTACGGTGGTTTGTACATGTGCAAAGAAGGCCTACTGATGCTCCGGTTCGAAGATGTGACTATGAGACAGAGGTTCAGGGCCGAACGGGTAGAGGAAGACCTAGGAAAACTTTGGAAGATACCCTAAGAAAAGACTTAGAGTACTTGGATCTAACGGAGGACATGACACAAAACCGAGCGCAATGACGTTCTAGGATTCATATAGCCGACCCCACTTAGTGGGAAAAAGCTTTGTTGTTGTTGTTGTTGTTGTTGTGGTTGATCTGATTTGGATGGGTTTGAGGGTTAGTTTCTAGGAATGTTCCATTGGTGTTCTTTTTCTTCTACACAGTTACCAAAATCTCAAGTCCTCATTTGATCCTCGAGTACAACCCAATCATATTTGCTGTAATACAATCATATTCTTGAGGTTTTGATTTTTTACTCATGTTTCTGCCTAAACTAATATACACGACTTCTAATTCTTATGGAAACACCTACATGTTTTTGCTTTGCACGTTTGTGCTTGAAAACTTAGATGCTAGAATAAGAACGAAACAGTTTTTATGTTTTTTTGTCAACTGCTAAAACATGTGCCTAACCTACATGATATATATTTTGTCAACTTGACTGCAGGGGCAAGATTTGTGTGAACTGGATGTTGCTTCTATTTCTTCTATTTATTAGGGAAACAGAACGTTTAGTTTCATCCTGTTAATTGTGCAATATCTTTTCATGTCAGCTAAGTTGTATGTATATAAAAACGAAGTTGCATATCTTACTGATCCCATTCACTCATTTATCCTTTTGTTCATTCATGATTGTGTTGAATTTATTCAGGCAAAATGTGTCTTAATCATGCAGTTCAAGGTGGTGCATTCAAGTCCCGCAACAACGTGCAGGCATATTTTCTAGTTTGTACTAATTAACCAAATACATGCAACTCAATAAGATTTAGACATCAGTAGTGTGTGAGAAAAATATACATGGAGTGGCATTTGAAAACTAGAAGATTTTCACTATTTTAATATGATTAATTGAATAATCTGTAAAGCAAAAAAAAAAAATGAAAATTATTAATTGAATAATTTGTAATGCAAAAAAAGCTTTACCTCCCTCTGTGCATGCTACCAATTTACGAACTGCGGATAGATGGCCAGCGGATGCAGCTACGTGAAGCGGAAGTTCTCCATCATGATTTCTTTTGCGGACAAGCCCCGGAAAAGTTCGGGTAATTAGTTCAATAAGCTGCACGTGGCCTGTATTTGCAGCAAGGTGAAGCATCGTGTTCCCACGGATGCTTACTTTGTTTTCACTACTTCGGACCAGCAATTCTATTTGATGAGGAATACCTGTGGCTCCGGCAAAATACCTTGTGCGCATATCCCGTATAAACTCTTGACAGAGGTATATTACTCCTGAATTAGACATCGTTGCATACCTGTATAGTATAGGATCCATGCGCGTGTCTCCTGCAGTGTTCTCATGAGCACCCTCGCCAGTTATTTGATCATCTTGTCTTGAACTCTGGCTAACATCCTCCATTGCTATTGCTATTTCACCTTGTCCCTCGCCAGTTATCTGATCATCTTGTCTTGAACTCTGGCCAACATCCTCCATTGCTGTTTCACCTTGTCCTAAACTTGAAGCAGCCATTAATTTGCAGATTTAATTTTGAGTTTTTTTTTTTTGGGGGGGGGGGGGGGGGGGGGGTTCAAACAGACAAATGATATCATTATCACATTTTTTATACATTGTAATATGGAGTAAACTGTGGAAAACTACTGTTGCCTTGCAATGCAAGATGCGGAACAATCATACATAACAACGTAGTTGACTGACCAAAAAAACAAACAAACAAATGATATCATTATCACATGTTTTATACATTTTAATATGGAGTAAACTGTCGATTTGTCCCCTAAATTTTCACCTAGTTTCGATTTCCTCCCTGAACTTTTCGATTGGAAAATTAAAGACTCAAACTAATTTTTTTAGCCAATTTGCCCCCTACCGTTAGTTTTTTCAAACATTCCATCTATATTTCTGTTATGTGAGACCATGTGCACAACATGTGAGGGTAGTTAAGTCATTTTACTCTTAAAAATGATTAAAAAACTGAAAAAAAATTTAAGAAAAAAAAAACTTTCCCTCTAATTCCTATCCTCAATTTTATTTTTCACTCATACATATGCATGAGAAATGACATATGGTGTTATTGTCTTCAAAAGTATCTAAGTTAATTAGTCTTTTTCTTGAAGCATGTACTGCCATTTTTATTTTCTTTAACAAATTAATAATTTGACAAATGTTCATAGTGTTATTGTCTCCAAAGCATTGCATTAATATAAGCATGTTAAGTGTTGTGCTTCATTTTAGAGACATTAAGACTTTACTAGTAGAAGAGTTAGAAGAGTTATAAAAATAGTTTCTAATAGTTAACATGTCCGCCTTCTAGTAAAAACTACAACAAGTCAAAGAAAACAACTACTCCAATCACTAGCATCAAAACTCCAAAGATCTGCTAACTGCACTAATCCTAACTATTCCTCCAATTTTCTAGCAATAGTATCCAACCAAATCACAAAAAAAAGAAGCATATCATACCCACGCAGTTCCACAAAACTTTGTTTGCCTCCTTAAAGTACAATGTTTTCAAATAATAAATTAATTACTATAAAAGAGAAGAAAGTGCACAACTCAACCTAGAATCAAATGATGAATATTTCAACTGCATTCTTGCACATTTAACACCATGAGCATTTGTCAAATTATTAAGTTGTTAGAGAAAATAAAAATGGTAGTACATGCTTCAAAAAAAAAAACTAACTTAGATACTTTTGAAGACAATAACACCGTATGTCATTTCGCATGCATAGGAATGAGTGAAAAATAAAATTGAGGATAGGAATTAGAGGGAAAAAATAGTGAGAAATTTAAAAAAAAAAAATTATTTTCAGTTTTTTAATCATTTTTAAGAGTGAAATGACTTAACTACCATCACATGTTGTGTACATTGTCTTACTTAATAGAAATATGGATGGAATGTTTGAAAAACTAACGGTAAGGGGCAAATAGGCTAAAAAAATTAGTTTGAGTTCTTAATTTTCCAATCGAAAAGTTCAGGGAGAAAATTAAAAATTAGGTGAAAGTTTAGTGGGCAAATCGACAATTTACTTTTTTAATATGAGTAGCTCCTACCAATACATGTAGATTCCATACAAAAGTGATATTCTAAGAATATCATCTTTGAAACAAAAGAACGTAATCATAAGGAAACCTGAACAAGGCAGCTGGTTTAATATTTTTACTTTAAATATGTGACATGAGTCACACCTACTTTTGACGTGGTTAGATATGCGACATGTTTCAACCGGTCATCCAAAAAGTTAACTAAAACCACAATCTTTACAGAAGAACTTCGGACCACAATGCAATTTTATAAAGATATTTTTCGTCCAAAAAATAATAAGAGAACGAAAAGGAAAAATTAAAAGCTTACAATAAGACTATATAGTATCTAAGTAATGTGTTTTTCTCAATTTAAGATTAATGTTGTTGATGCACAAAATCAGTGAGGATTTTTGTACAACAGAAAGTGTCAAGTTTGTGACATTTGCTAGATTGCTTCGGTCACTAGTGCGGATAAGTATGTAAATGGATAGAGATAGGAAAGCAAACACAAGATGTACGTGGTTCACCCAGATTGGCTACGTCCACGGAGTAGAGGAATTCTCATTAATTGTGAAGGGTTCACACAAGTACATAGGTTCAAGCTCTCATTTAGTGAGTACTAGTGAATGGTTTAGTACAAATGACATTAAGAAATATTGTGGGAGAATGATCTCCTTTTATAGAAGAGAGTTTCTAGCTTTGTTCTGACATTGACACGTGTTGTGTTGTGATTGGCTTCCGATGTTAACACGTGTTGTGCTATGATTGGCTTATGATGTCGACACGTGTCGCATTGTGATTGGCCTTCTGGTTGGAGGGAAACTCTTCTGGGTCCTTGACGGTATAACGTTGACCGGTGCTCAGTAGTTTCGGGATTGGTCAAGTATGGTACAAACAATGCTCCCCTAAGTTCTCGAGTGAGGGAAGCTCCTCGGTTGGGGACTTGCAAGATCCAAGCCGCTGAGTAATCACGAAACTTCTAAGTACCGAAGTGTGGTATCGTCTTCACTTGCCTTATCTGTCTCATAGGTAGATGTGACATTTTCTTTAGAAGCACTTTTCCTCCATCCAGGGGTGCTATCTTTAACCGGTAGAGATGCACAAGGTAATGTATCAATTTGACTTGAAACTTACTTGTAGTTTCAGGCTTGGTCAAGCGGGATACAAACCATGTAGTAGGAGTCCCCTAAGTCGCCGAGCTAGGAGATTTGCCGAAAGAGGTGACAGACAAGGTAAGCAATCAGAGTTCCAAGCAATCAGTCCCAGATCAGAAGTTTGATTTCGAGTTCCAGCTGATTGTTCTCATTTTCCTTATCTTCCAGGCAACAAGAAGGATAAAGAGAAGAAAAAAGAGAAAAGATGATATGAGATACTTTTGCTTTTGAAGAAGTAACTTTCCACATGTTTATTCTTGAACTGGGCTGGAGGGTTTTCTGGTTTCCTCCAGAGTATAAGGCCGACTCAAGAATTTGAGGGTCAAAACAAGTCAATCAAATCTAGAGTACGTTCGACCCTGATGATATGAGATACTTTTGCTGTTGACAAAGTAGTGGATGTATCGGCACGTATTCTGTTGCGCTTGTCTCCACATGCTTTCTTATATCCTTCTCACTTGCCCTATCTGTTCCTCAGGCAGATGTGGTATCTTTTCTGGAAGCATAAGATGTTGAAGATGAGTACTCGAGAGCAATGTCAGGTAAGTAATCAGGCAAAGAGTTCCTGGTAGTCAGTTCCTGACTGGAAGCTTGATTCCAAGTACTGACTGATTGCTCTCTTTCTCCTTATCATGCAGGTAAGAACAAGGCCAAATGAAAAGACAGGGAAAAAGCATGAAATGTGATACTCTTGCTTTTAACCCTGATTATATGAGATACTCTTACTCTGGTGTGGCTTGTTTGCAAAGATATTATCGGGGGGAAAATAAGCTGAGTATTTCGAGAGACAATGTTGAGAGTGCCCTCTCGGATGTGAAGAAAAGTTGAGCATTTTTTTTTATTTGCAGGTTTACCTCGCTCTGGAGGATGAAGGTCAACATATATAGGAATTGTCCCAACAGCGAGTAGTAACGATGTTCCTTTATCCTTCTCGGTCATAACAATGTAGTGGGAGCTGCAAGATTGACTTGTTTTAACTTTATCAGAGCACTTTGAAAAAGTGGTCCGTGGTATCTGGAAAGCTGATGTTGCGTGTGAAGATTGCAGATAAGTTTTATCCAAGGAAATCTGGCTCTTGAAGTTAGGAGAACGGTGCCTCTTTGGTTTTCGAACAAGCAATCCTGTCGGGGATCTGGCTCTCGAGATTCGAAGAATGGTGCCTCTTCGATTTTTGAGAAAGCAATCGTGTTGGGATTCTGGCTGTCGAGATTTGGAGAGCGGTGCCTCTTCAATTTTTGAGAAAGCAATCCTGTTAGGAGTCTGGCTCTCGAGATTCGGAGAGTGGTGCCTTTTTAATTTTTGAGAAAGCAATCCTGTTGTGAGTCTGGCTCTCGAGAGTCGGATAGTGGTGCTTCTTCGATTTTTTAGAAAGCCATCTTGGTAGGAGTTTGGCTCTCGAGATTCGGGGAGCGGTGCCTCTTCGATTTTTGAGCAAGTAATCATGTTGGGAGTGTTTTCTCGATGTGAGTAAAGATTGGACATTTTTGCCAGTATGCCTTGCCACGGAGCATGGAGGTTGACACACACAAGGACTTTCTAGTTATCAAGCAGTGGTGTTGTTCCTTTACCCTTGTGGGTAATTGTAGGGTAGCTGGACTTTCAAAATTTATGTCTCTAAACTTTGTCAGAGATCTTTGGCAAAGTTATCTGTGGTACCCGAGGAGCTGATGTTGCGTGTGGGGATTGTTGACATATTTTACTCAGGAAAATCTGCTTCTCGAAATCCGGAGAGTGATGCCTCTTCGATTTTTGAACAAACGGCCCTGCTGCCCTTTCTTTTATAAGGGCACCAATTGTGTGCAAGAAGTACGTTCAGAGAGTTATTGTTTATAGGAATTTTCCCTTTATTTTCGTACTTCAGAGATTTATTGGACCTCATTTCTCCTTCATCATTTTTGAAAATGTCTGGCCCATCCGACCGTCGTTTTGACTTAAACTTTGGTGAAGAGCCAGTCATGCCTCCTCAAGACAACATATGGCGTCCATCCTTCTTATCCCCTACTGGTCCTCTTATCGTTAGGGACTCTGTGATGAAGAATGATATGACCGCTGCGGTGGTGGCCAGGAACCTTTTCACTTCCAAAGATAACATACTACTTTCCAAACGGTCTGATGAGTTTACTGTTAAGAATTCTCTAGCTCTCAGTGTTCAGTATGCAGGTTCTGTGTTTAATATGACCCAACGCCTATTTGCTCGAACCCGCCAAGTTAAATCATGGGCGGCTGAAGTGATAAATCTCAAACAAGAGATTAGAGGGCTCAAGCATGAGAATAAACAGTTGCACAGGCTCGCACATGACTATGCTACATGAAAATGAAGCTTGACCAGATGCAGGAATCTGATGGTCAG